GGAGTTAAAGGGTTAACCAGTCACTCCACCATTCCTCATGGGTTACTGCTTAATAAAGGTTTGACTGGGTACCAATGTAAACAGGGATGTAAAAGTTTCATTACCATAGACATTTCTCATAGATCTATACTACCGTAAATGTTCTCATACTTTTCTCCAGCCTTTCTTTAGTCATTTATTGTGTCACATTGAGAAAAAAAAGGTATCTGGAATTTATAGCTGTGAAATTTAGATCAATTCAGTAAAATTGTGTAACTGTAGTCTGCTCCAAAATTCACTGACGTTATGTTTCTTCTAGATCACATCATCTACTATTTCATTTCCTGATAATGAATCCATCTAGTAGTGGACTTTTTACATCAACATAAGGAAACTTATGCCAGCTATACTCAGTTGAACAATAACTGCTGATTGATTGAATTTGTTATTAAAGGTTCTTATTAATTCACTGTTTATGATTATCATGGTTTATTCTCAAACAGAGGAAGGAATAAAAGTTGAAGGGTTCTCATCTTTTTTTAATTGCCTTACATTATCATTAAATCGAGTTAGATTGCTTTTTAGATAATAGCTTATGGGTTCAAGTAAGTTATTTCTACCTCAGGCTAAACAAATTCAGAAGGTTCTAAGTTAAACTGTCTACTTACTCTCTGATTTTCTTTCATTTGTTCCCTTCAAATCCACTTCTTCAAGTTCACAGTAGTCTTTACGAAACTCGCTGCGTCGACTGTAAAGTGGAGTGTTTCTATCCTTTTCCAGGGCAGAAATTCTGACAATTTACAAAAATTTTAATCATAAATAACTAAAAAATATATATACATATATATTCTTTAAACTATGAGAAAATAAAACTTTCAAAAAGTAAATCCAATCACATCCAAAGCATCCAATCACAAAGAAATACCAAAAGGAAATCATAACATTCTTAATATTCGAAACCATTTATCATACATAAAAATTTCAATATTATTGTTAATATTTTTACATCGGAGTTTCTCTGTAAAAGTAAAAATTCAATATAGGTAAAAAATTCTTGAAAAAAGGACTACCTCTGCTCAAGCTGTTCCAGTGTTGCAAAAAATTCCGAGTTCTTTTGCTGCTGTGTCCGTGGTTTCCTCGACTTATCAGCATCGCTGCTTCCTTCGGGCTCAGTTCTATTATTCATGGTAAATCTTCATTCGAGAGAACTATTGTTTACAGTCAGAGAGATGACTTAGCAATACCCGCCATTTTGTTCGAACCAATGTCATACATGACGAAGCTAATTTTTTAAGATATGACCACTGACCAAACTACTCGCTGGCGAATAATGAGCCCACGAAAGAACTACAGCAGCTGCTACCAATCAGACCTAATTTGATCAGCCATAATGGTAAGTTTCGTTAGAGAAATCTTTGATTTGATAATTTTTTTCCCACTCTGAAAGGGCCGATTGCGTATAACAGAGAGATAATGATAATTTTGTTGTCTCCCCTCGTGTCTTTTGCACTCTAAAGGAAGAAAAATGAAATGCAAACTTTTTTTAATATGTCGACTCAACTTTACCATGCTGAGTCACGTTGCAAAACTTCCATCGTCTGGCTACCTCAATTTAGCAACATTTTCATGATGGATGGGGATGTATTTTTTGAGTCCATTTTAAAAATTAATAGAAAATCGGTGCATGGCTTTCTTTTCTTAGCTACGGTATTATCCAAACTTCAGGTCAGCTTCGTTTGACAACTTTAATAGAAAGTTACATTCCAACAAATTTAGTTACATGTGTATAATTTGTGTTTCAAAAATCGTTCTCTTTTAGTTCCGTAATCAGTACGATAACGATGTTACAGTTTGGAGCCCCCAGGTGAGTACGTTTAGCAGACCAGGAATGCTTGAAGTTCTGTGGATTTAGCGTCGTTCATTATAGTCGGTTTTTTTAAGAACATTTCCTGCTTTCAAGGCCATTTGAAGAGACACATCTTTTGATAAAACTGAAGATGTCATCGATTCTAAGGGGTACCATTTTATTATTCTCCTTTCCTATTTCGGTGGACCTTAGTGACCCTGTATTCTATAGTTGTTCAACACTCTAAGGTCAACATATCATACTCCATCAAGTGAACCAAAAGGGTTTTACATGGTGTTGCTCAAGAAATGAGAAAATGATTGAAGAAATTACTGTGACTCTGCTTTCAAATCTATGAACTAAAATTTATTTCAATTTACCCCATAAGTGAGAGAGAAACATAAAAAATAATTGTTTTTGGCACATTATTTAGGCAGCCGAAGAGCACAGTTGAGAAGTTTCCAAACCCTGTGATTCCATTTGCCCTAGTTTTAACCCTTTCACTCCCATGAGTGACCAAGACAGAATTTCTCCTTACAATATCAACAAGATAAGTAATGGGAATAAAGAAAAATATCAATTTGGGAATAATTAGCTGATCCAATGCAAAATTCTCGAAACTAACATTACAAGAATTGTATGGTTGACAGTAAGGAGAATTAAAATTTTGAACTGAGAGTTGAAGGGTTTACAGAAACTTCTCAAATGGTTTTCTTTGTCTTTTCAGGGCCGTATACATCAAATTGAATATGCAATGGAAGCTGTGAAGCAGGTATGTAATGTGCATAATTTGCCACATGCTGTTGGCAATGTATGTGGGGTAGTGTGTTAGCAGTTGTACTGCTTATATGTATTTTAGTATTCAATAAAACTGTAAAAATTGAATAGGCGAATCAGGAAATGTAAGCAGTTGTATACTGAGGATATAATCATGTGGGTCAAAACTGTATAACTGAACTTTGTAAAGGAGTCTAAAGGAAGTTAAATCACAAAAGTAGCATCATAGGCAAGACAAGCCATTGTCTGTCTCCTTTTTCTCAGTAGTAGAGGATTCAAGTTTTAATTTTTTCTCAAAATTTGGGGTGCAGCTTATTTATGAGGCAGATTATACACAAGTTTTTACAGTATTTATGAGTTGGTCAAAAATTGGACTTCAGTTGGAAGCACTTAGACTTTCTTGTCTGGAAATGTTTCTGTGTTTTCATTTATACTTGGCTAAAAAATTTCATGTACCATCTTAATTTCCATTATCATGCAAACTGTCTTAGTATGTACTATAACCTAAATGACAGTGAATATATGAAAATCATATATGTGAACTATGGATAAAGATGTGAATATGAAAGTGATCCTTGCAGTTATTAACACTAATTGAGCAGAAAGGTTCCAAATAGTTCACATATATGATTTTCATACATTCACAGTCATTTCTTTGTTACTTCATGGGTTTATTTGAAACCAGCATAATGAACAGCTCCCAGTTGGCTTGTTAGCTTAGTTGGTAGAGCATTGCACTGGTATGGCAGAGGTCATGAGTTCAAATCCTGCACAGGCCTGAATTTTTTCAGGCCTTATGTTCATTACTGCTCAAGTAGTGTTCATTAAAGCAAAGATTGCTTTGAATTATTCACATACTATAACCTGATTGGTATTTTTTTCTTTGTCAGGGGTCAGCCACAGTAGGACTGAAATCAAAAACTCATGCAATTATTGTTGCATTAAAAGTAAGTTAACTTGGTACTCATATTCTTTTACAATGCATGATGGTTGGCCAAGCTGATGTATATTGTGCATACAGTGTTTTTGTTTTGTCCTCAAGGAACTCATTGGTGACCTTCAGCTATTTTGTCAAACATTACATTCTTTTTGTTAAAGAACAACAAATTACACCAGCCTTTAAAGTTTCTATAATACAAAGTGTTCAAAATTTTCCCTCCTATTGTAGCGAGCGGCATCAGAGTTGTCTGCTCACCAGAAAAAGATCTTGCCTATTGACGATCATGTGGCTGTTTCCATAGCAGGCCTGACTGCAGATGCTCGACTCTTAAGGTGAGTTGATCGTCATCTTTTCTAAAATGAACTATAATGGTAATTTAATTTTGTTTAAATTAATGTTGTATTAACTAACTGAAAGTATTTATTAGTAATGGTAATGGGACTGAGTGGAGTCCAATTTGGTTTATAATCATATGAGTGATCAGCAAAATTGGATGTGTGATTACAGGTGTCCAATTGCAGTGAACTGTACAATTGCAACTCTACAAAATAATTAGTGACAAATAAAGCAGTTAGTGAACTAATCACATTTTAGGAAATTGTAATGGTTATGATTAAAAATGAAATAGCCTCTCAAACTCTCAGTTAAGTAAGTAAGCAATAAACTCTACAATTAACATAACAATATTGATGGTACCAATTATGTAATGGTAACTACCCCCTGAAGGTAAGAATGAAATTTCACATTTTGTGAGCAAATTGCTAGGGATAGTAGTGACCTTGGTTAGGTTAGAAACCTAAAGTGAAATTTATCTATAATCAAGAATGACCCTAAAGATGGACTTTTACAAGAGTCTATGTCATAAAATACTATTTTAAATATTTTCAAACAAGTGTATGATTTAGTTACTGCTATTGTTACTGATATCAGTCTATATCTTATTTCAGTAAATTTATGAGGAGTGAGTGTCTCAACTCCAAGTATGCATATGACAGACGATTACCTGTCTCAAGACTTGTTTCTGCAGTGGGGGACAGTATCTTTTTCCTTGACGACTATTTTAATTGATAAACAATAAATGATTCCAAAAGGAGAAAAAGACTTTTTTTTGGCTTGAAAATAAATGAATCCAATTTGTATCCTAATGATGAGATTGCATTTATGTGGATTGAAACTACTCATGAAAAACTTTCATCAAAATAATTGAGGTCTTATGCATCTTTTAGTTGTAAAAGGGCTGACATTGATTACTACTCTTTGGCCGCTTGAATGTTTTCCTTTCTGTTTGATTTTAAAAACGGTTTACAAACATGATAACTTTGTGTTTTATCAAAAATATTCTTGACCAAAAAAAACAGAGATGCAAATACCAACACAGCGATATGGCAGAAGACCATATGGAGTTGGTCTTCTTGTGGCAGGATATGATGTGAGTAGTTAGTAAAAATAAGGACTTGAATTTAGAACATCTGCCTTGAGTGATTCTAGCTCTCTTTCCTCTCAGCTATGCTGCCTCTTGCTGGATGATTGATGCACTATTTCAAAAACAAGTGCAAGTGACTCTTCAAGGTTTCCAAACAAGAGAAAATTAGGCCTTATACATTTATTCCTTTTTTTGATTGTTTGGAAACCCTGAAACAGAATGCATTAGTTTTTTACATAGCTTCTCAATCATGCCTCATTAATAAAGAAAAATGGAGATATTCACAAATTTTTCACATCTTGTAGGCAACTTTCTTGGTGTCTTTGTTTTAAGTACTTAAATACTTTTTATTAATATTCAGTTTAAGAAAATGAGTGAACTAGAGTTTGATGCTTTATCAAACTCAAGGTTTTGATGTTGCATAAAACTCATGATGATTTTGATATTGCATAAAACTCATGGATGACACCTCATTCCAGTGTTTCACTGGGGTTTCAAACCTGAAACAATTTGCATCTTTTTGTGAGATGATTATCCTATGAATAAATAATGAGTTTGAGAAATTCATTTCTCAAGTTAGGGAAAAATGGGAACTTGATTGACAAATCAAATGAAAAATGTCATCAGTACATTCAAGTGGCATTGTGTGAAATAGGTTTATTATTTTGTATTTTCAGTTTGATCATGATAAATGATCCAGTAGTTCATGATTTTTGTTGTTAATATGTGCAGGATATGGGTCCACATATTTACCAGACATGTCCTTCAGCTAATTACTTTGATTGTAAAGCAATGGCTATTGGTGCTAGGTCTCAGGTAAGTTATAACTCTCCTTAAACAAATAAAGAATATCTGTCCTTCTGATGTCAAGTGTGGCATAAGATATGATTCTGTGTTGATTCTTTGCACCTTTCGTGAATGAGGCTGCTAAATCTTGTATGAAGGAAAAAGATAAAAGTCCGAAAAACACAGACAATTTCTGAAAAAGCAATTGAACTTGTTCAAAAAGAACAACCTTAGTCTTGAGTAACATCATGTAGATAGGCCTGAAAACTCATCAAGGTCAGTTAGAAATTACCCAGGCATGGAAGTTGTGTCATATTTACATCAAATTCACTGCAAATTTAATATTGGACAAAATGTTAAATATTTTATTGATATCGGCGAAGTTGTCCAGGTATGTGATAACAAGGATAAGTGTGACTTGACTGAATCTGATTTCTCTTTTGCTAGTATCTTCCTAACAGTTTTCGTCGAGCAGCTGAAAGTTT